AAAACAAAATTTGATAAATTTCGGGAAACAACCATTTTATTTTTACCATGTGTTACGACGATTTGTTTTTATTTTTTAAACAAGTTGTATAAAAAATAATTTTATGCCGGTTCCTACTTAGGTTAACAAAGAAAATTTTTATTTCAGTTACTTTTTATTAAAGAATTACAATTAATATAAATATGAATTTACATAGGGCAGAATCACACTATTAAGCGACAAAATAGAAAGCGATTGTCCTTGCCATTTTGCACTTTCCTTTCTATATAGGGCGTTGGACTATTTTTTTTTTATTTGTTACTATTTATTCATTCATTAAATTTAATTATTCTAATAAAATAGTATATTAAAAAAGAAATAACATTCTCAGACATTAGGCCATCCCAGGTGAGATTCGAACTCACGTCTTTTGGATTAGAAGTTCAACTCGCGTTTCGTTGCGCTACAGGGACATGAAGAACAGTTTTCCTTTCTATATATGCTGTTCTACAATTATTTTTATTTGTTACTATTTGTTCATTTTTAAATTTTATTAATGAATTAATATTTTTAAAAAACTGTCATCCACAAGTTTAAAAAATGTATTTGAACTTTAATGTGTGGATGAATAGAAAGTATTTCTCCATAATATATATAAACTTTAAATAACGAAATGTGAAAATAAAGTTATAATATAACATGGATCATCTTAAGCAATATTTTAATTTTATATCGATGGAATTAAAAAAGAAAAAAAGGTGCAGGCTCATATTTCCAATGTTTTACGCTGAAGAACGAATAGAGTAATTTTTCTGTACCCTATATAGGTGTCCTTGAAGAGAATGTAAAAGTTTTATATCCGCTTAACTATACTCAAGAACTCAAGTCGATAAAAAATAACAATGTTTTCAAGTACTACTCAAGCGTTATGGCCCTTGGAAGAAGATCTTTTTTTTTTTAGCTAAAATATCTAACTCGTACTTTTTCTGAAGGGAGATCGCAGTAATTCCTTTAGGGCTGTCTTCGCTAAAAGTACGAGACCTGGACTGAAAGCGAAGCCCATTTTTACACAGAAAAATGACCCAATTTTCATGAAAATCTACAACATTATAATAGAATGCGTATTTATAATGCTTCGCTTTAAAAATCATAAAATACTTAATAAATAATTCATTTTTTATTCTAAAATGTACAGGGATATCTTATTTAACATTACGGTATTGGGAAAAAATTGCGAAACACATTTTATATCAGGAAAAATGGATAAACTCAGATAAAAATGACTTGTTGAATAAAATAAAAGTTTTTTTATAAGATAGGAAAGCCAAAAAAGATAAACAAATTAGGAAATCTTTTATAATTGAAAAAATATTCCAAAAATTCGGGTTTTATATTTTGAAATTCCGCAAAGGCGATCTTAAAGCTGTGGTCTGCAATGTAGTGTATGCGTGCTCCAGGGGATACCCAGAAGGGTACAAAAAAATAGGACAGCTAACTATTTATACCTATGAAATAAAACCGCTGAATTGTCAATGAATTTTTTTCTTCAAACCTTTTAATCATTCCTTTTAAAGCATTAAGTGATGAAGCCTCCTTTCGTGGCTTCTGTATCATGAGGAACTGTGGATGCTTAAGATAATATGTACGGCTTAGTACCAATAATGCGCTGGCACGTAATGTGAGCCGCATATTCATGGGATATGGTAAACTTCAGCTGAGGATACTATATTTCAGAGCTGTATACCGGTTGATTCAAAATTGGTGTGACCAAATTTAAAAGCAGATAACTATTTATGATGAGTTTCTATCGTTTTACTACTGGTTTTATTTTAATAATGAATATTCAAATTTCTAATCTAACCATTTTTATTAGTGGGAGTTAACTACAGTACTGAAATTAGATCCTCAAACCCGGAACGAAATTTTACAACTTTTGGAGGATGGTTGTTCGAATTCTGTAAATAATAAAGCATTTACAAATAAAAAAAGACATTTTTCTCTATTGTATTACTACCTAAACTTCAAAAGGAAATAAAATTTGGCTCGCAATCAAAAGCTCCAAGGAAAAAATGGGGACGAAAGAAAGTCCTTAATGAAAAAGAAAAAAAAAAGTTGAAAAGAATTATTGCTGTAGAAAATCCTTTGCTTCAAAAACCTATGCGAAAATAAATTATAGATATAGCGATCGACAATTTATCGTCAAATAAAGAAAATTGGCTGTAAAAAAGTAAATTTTTCAGTCTGTCATCAAATGCCTGTTAAGACCATGGACATACTAAGAAAAAGTTATCATCCTCTGTATTTAATGTTACGCAAAGGTAGATACAAAGCATGGATAACTTCTGATGAAGCACTGTTTCATCTGTCATTCACAACCGGCAAAACGAAGATTCAATATATTTCAAGCAAGCAAAAAAAAAAAAAAAAAAAACATCGCAAAGACAAAATGAAAAGAATTGAAAAATGCAAGTTGGCCGTTAGGTGTTATGGTTTAAACGGAAATGTACCCTCAAGGCTTAACAAAACCATTTTTGTAGAACCAAACTTTAAAATTGATGCTAAACGCTATCCGAATAAAGTTTTGAAACACATGATCAAAAAAAGTAAACGTGTTTACCCTCAAGGAAGCTTTGTTTTTCACCAAGATTCTGCACTGAGTCATACTGCAAAATCAACTGTAAAATGTCTGAAAAATTAAAAATAAATTTTCTGCCTCCTGAGATAAATGACTACCTCTATCCCCTGTCTGTGTGTGTTCTTTGTGATTTTTTTTGTGGGGATTCTTAAAAAAACAATTAAATAGACGTAAAGAGTAAGAGCATTTCAAAAAAGGGTCCCAAAAAGCAATTTAAGAGGGAGTTGGACAAATACCACAAAAATTATCGAAAAAACTCTTTTAGCTTACCCGAAACGCTTACGAAAAGTGTATTGTACTAGAGGAAACCACATTAAAAATCCCATGTAAATAACTTTATTCAATAAAAATTTATGATCCTCTGAAATTGGTCACACTATTTATGAGTCAACCGGTACATCTTTATAAAGCGCAAATTACTAGTGTGGTTGCGTAAAGAAGCATAAATTAGGATTTTACTTCCATTCCCGCGTTTCATTAAGATTCTCGGTTTGATAAGCTCTCTCTCTCTCTACAACAATACCATACATACCTCTATTAGCAATTTTTGGAACCAAGTTTTCCTTCGGAATCTTACTTTACATGTTATAATCACTCTCTCTACCAGGGACAGGCAAACTTTTCAGGGGGTACAGGGTATTTTTAATTTTTTCAAGCATTGCGGTTCACTCAGAAGAAGTAGGTATGGTGAACTAAGAAAATGTTATACGATATTTGTTATAACTTAATAATAAATATGGGAAGTAACTCCAACAACAACAAAAACTTACACCTTTAAGACCACGTTTAAGGCATCCAACTACGTTCTAAACAGTGATTTTTCAAAAGCTTATAAATGGATAATATTTATGATATTTAGTGTCACTTAGATTAGAAAACGTATATAAAATTGTTTTAAGAATATTATTAGAATAAAAAAATATTTAAGTACACTATTTTGACAAAAACTGAACATAGAATGACCCATATTCATAACATTCTCCTTTTTATGAAAAATGCTTCTATTCTAATAATATTTTGCCTGTATATAGCTCAGACCTCTGTACAGAGGCTCAATTAGAATTTTTGAAATATACAACTTAGAACTAGATTTATCCATATTTTACTACAAAAGAGACGAGTAATTTTATGAAAAAAGCGCTGATAATTACTTCAATTAGTTTTAATTCTAAAAATAATGTGAATTTTTCAAAAATCCTAGTTCAGACTCTTTGGAGAAGCCTTTACTTTATATGAACACACAAAATATTATTATTATAGAAGCATTTTTTTATAAAAGGAGAACGTTTTGAAAAAAAGATTATTCTAAGTTAATTTTTTGCCAAAATATTGTATTTAAATAATTTTTTTGTCATAACGTTCTTAAAATAATTTTATACATGTATTCTAATCTAAGCGTCACTAAATATCATAAAAATTATCGATTTTTGCTTTTTTTTTAAATCACGGTTCCGAACGTAGTCGGATACCTTAAAGCAAAACGCAAGGTATATAAACACAACAATAATAGCCACAAATATAATAATATCAAATAATGCATTTACCATCAAACATTTCAAAATACATTAAAAAATAAAATATGTTCATCTAAAGTTAGTTCTTGTAGTAATAGTTAACAGAGAAGTCTTATATAGTCTTCATATTGTCAGGCATTCTTGAATACTTCGGTATATAATTACTAACGGCTAATCTTTACAAGGGCCACCCCAAAATGTCTTGGCAATACACCGGTCGATCGTGATCGATTTAATGCCCACCCCGTTTCTATACTAAGTTTGTTGCCATTGCGGTTGCAAGATCGAGTTTCAGGTGGTTCGGAATAGTGTCGGTGTAAGAAAACCATCCTTTATTTTGCGTTACATTAACCAATGTACGTATCTATTTTAATTGCTCAGCGTCCTACAATATTTAACCAAAATCGATAATTACCTTGTTTTGAACGCTAGTTTATTTGAAAACCTTTAAGTTTGGGGAATTAAATTTTCGAGCTTTTCTAAAACTAGTTTATGCTTTTTAATAAAATAAACATAAACAGATGTAATGGGTTAATTTCTATTCCAACTGTAAACATAAGTCTTTTAAGCGAAAATAGCTTACAAACATGAAATTTAAAAAAAGTTCCAAGATTAAAAATCCATTATTTTCCGTAATGGATTAAATTTAATTAAAATTAAACAAACAGTTTTTAAATATTTCTCAGAGCCTTTTGGTATGGAAAATTAAAGAAATGAATCCGTTTTAACGAAGATTAAGAGCAAATTATTTTCTTTCATCGTTCTATTCCCGAAAAAACGTCTTGTTCGTTCAAGAGCAAAAATTTAATTTTTTTCCGAAGCCGTTGTCGAATGCAGATGACATTGAAAACATCAGTTTTTCTCGTGTTTACCCAACAGTTTGAATAATTGATAATACTTTCTAAATGCCTTAATTAAGTACTCATTTAAAAAGAGATTTTTCTTCCGTATTCTGTGTCCTTTCAAACATTTGCTTAAAAAAACGTGTTCGCTCTTTTGCACTTGCATCATTACCGAGAAAGCAGAAAAAATTTAGGTTAAACAAATTTAAATTCTGTACGTATTTAGGTCTTTAAAGTAATTATCACTGATTAATTAAAGCTTAATAGAGCAGTTTTTTTTCCTTTTTAAGATGTTTACAATCAACGTCTTAATGTTTAAGGAAAGTTTAATTATACTTTAAGTTAAAAACAGAAGAAAAAAAATCTCAAGAAATTTCGATGGAAGCTTAAAAACCTAAAATTGTACAGAAAAACTTATATTTAAAAGAAGTTACCTGACTTTTCATGCTAAAAGTCATAATATAGAGGAAAAAATTGCTTAA